TCTCCCTCTATCTCCTTTAGCTTCGCCCCACTCCTCTTTCCATCTCCTCTCCCGCTCCTGCCGTCTCCTCTGATAAATCTCTCCCCCACCGCTTTTCGCCTCCTCTGTCTCTCCCCATCTCTCTTCTTCTTCTTCCCCTCCTGGCCGCTCCCGTCACGACTGTATCTATTCCTTCACCCCCCCATCCTCCATCCTCCCCCCCCTCCCGTTTCATCTTCCCCTCTCCTTCTCTTCCCATTTGACATCCTCTCTCCTCCTCTCTCTCTCCCCGCCCGCAGGACTGTTCAGTAGATTAAGTTCAGCCGTGGCGGGAGAGCTGCTGACTCAGCCGGATTCTTTCAAATGACCCAAATCCTCAGTCAGGAGAAGAACTCATACACACTCTGATTGCGTTTTTTTTCTTCTCCCTCTTTCATGCGCTCTGACACAGGCTGCAGACACACACACTCACACACTCCTTATTGATCCGAGTGTTAGCCTCCTCCTTTAAGAAGCACAAATAAATTCCTCCATCTTCCCCGTGAGTACTCGCCGGTATTAGCGGGGTGGGGGTTTATTTCAGCACTATTTTCCCTCCCCGTTCTCCACCGTCTTTTTTTCTTTCAGTGGAGCCGGGGTTTGCGTGTCGACGGAGATAAGGTTTGCGTTTTTTTCCCAGGGAATTTCTCCGCCACCGTGTCAACAAATGAGTTTGGAAAACCGCTCGTTGGCTGTCGCTCCGGAAACTGACACCCCGACTACATGCACTATTTCTCCCCCCCCACCACCCCATCCCGGCTCTCTTTGATACGCCCCGCGTTTGGCTTTTGTTCTGTCAGGAACGGGGCTCCTTTATTGGCGACACTTGAAAGGGGAAACGGCAAATCTGAATCTAAATTTGCATACGTTATTCACTTGATTTCAGGGCGGGCGAGCAAGTTTTTAAACGGAAAGTTCTGGAGACTTTCGAGACGACGACGCAAGTGGTTGACGGGCCCAAACTTTGCTTCAGCGGTTAAAAAAAACAACCAAGATATCCAACACTGAGGCCGTCAATTGAGAGGCCGTTAGCATCAACTTTTTGGGTAAGTTTGATGGCCTCCATGTTGAGATCCTTCCGCCCGCCCTTAAAGCTAAGGCCGATAGGCTATGCTAGCAGCTTTGCTAACTCCTCAATGAGTAAAAGGAGCTTTTGTTTGTATTAAAGTCTCAAAACTATGTCATTCTTTCATTTGTATGACCGTCCAAGCACAGATCGCGTTGACTTGACTGATTTTTCAAGAGCCACAGAATAGTTTGTGCTATGAATATGTAAACAC